AGGAATGCTATACATCTTTGGCCCACATTTTTAAAAATATTTTTCTAGTTGTTGATAGACCTTTATTTTATTTCTTTATAGGTGGTGCTGATAATCAAACCCAATGCCTCACACGTGCCAGGCAAGTACACTACCGCTGAGCCCCAGCCCCAGCCCCAGCCCCAGCCCCTTGGCCTGTTTTTGACTGTCAGCCACTTTCCTATTCCAGAAATTCATATCATGTTCATAGGTAAGCCCATATTATTTGGAAATTTCACAATACTAGACACCAGAACCTGTTGTTTCTAACAATACTTCTTTGCTTCTGTTTTTATCCCTTGTCCCAAATCTGCCAGGTTTGGCATTAAAAGAGACAAACAAACAAGAGGAACAACAAATATTAATAAAACTAAGAGTGAATTTGAAGAATGGGAAACTATACAGACTAGCATGTCAATGAGTAATACACATCAAACTGGAAGAAACTGGTCTATGTTTTATTCTATTCAAATGTAAGAGTACTGCTGCTGAGCAACATACTATACTTTACCCCTACCTAATGCTCTGACAACTGGAATTTCTCTGTAATTCAGTTAAATTCTCAGGAGTCACTCAAGCTTCATCCATCCTCCTGGGCTCATTAATAGAGAACTCTAAAGCACATTTTCAGGTAGGTAGCATAGAGGTGTAGGGTACTCTTTCAACACATGAATAGCCTACTTCTATTTCTTGTCATTTCTCCTATAGGTAGGAAGTCTGTAACAAACATAACTCAACAACTTATAGTTCTAGTTAGCAGCTGTCAAAGATCATCCTGTAGGTCACCAGTTTTACACACAGTATGAGGGTTAGTCTTAATAAATTAATTAAAAATCTATACTTTTACTCCCTTAACCCTAGTTAATTTTCTTATGACTAATGAGCTGCAAGCTGAAAATAAAAAATAAACCAGCCTCTTCATTTATTCATTTCATTTAATTAATTTATTGGTGAGATATTTGTGAATAGTTAGCTCATGAAAATAATGAGGACAAGGTCACAGATTCAATGCTGGTCAATTAGCTTTTCAGTATTTCATGTTCCACAGTCACAGTCAACAACCTTAATCTTGGGTAAACACTAATCTTGTGAAGCATTACCAAAATCTATGACTTTAAAATAGTAATAACAATCCCTATTTTTTACCAAGTTTAACTAGAATATGCCTAGTTCAAATAATCTTAAATCTTTTCAGCCATGCTTCCATCTTTAAAGTTTTATAGATGATGATAAGTGGAATTCAAAATGATCTTCAGTACTACTTCAGCAGTACCTAGTCTCATACTGACTTCAAAGCTTAATTTATTTTCACAATACAGTATGGCCTCTCCTGAATCCTGTGCCTCAGTGACACAGGATATCAAGAGAATGCACCTATTCAGAACTCTCTAGCACAGTCATTACTGAACATTCATTATGCCTACTCAGATTCTGCAGTTGAGAGTGAAGTCTACCTTCCAAATTCCTTGTAAGTAAAAACGAGTCAAAGAGCAAAAGTGTTTTAAAACTAAGGAAAAAATAACACATTAGATAGGCTGGGGTAGATGTGGCTCAGTGGTAGAACAATCGCCTCAAACGTTTGAGACCCTGGGTTCGATCCTAAGCACCACATAAAAATAAATGAGTGAAATAACGGTATTGTGTCCAACTACAACTAAAAAATAAATATTAATAAAAACACATTATAGCACACAAAGTAGATTCTAATGAAAAAGACTGTCTATCGTCATAGCTTTTTATAAATTCTGTTGTAGAAAAAAGTTTTCTTGCTAATTCATAACTAAACTGAAACTGAAAAAGGATATAGCCAGGGGATATACAAATCAAAAAAAAAAAGAACAAAGACTTCTTGAACATCTAAATCTACAGGCTTCTGCTGATTCCATTGCAGCACTTGAAGAAAGTAAAAGTACATATTCCAATTCTTAACCCTAAGACTTTGCCTTAACCAACAAATCATTTTTCTCTATAAAGTTTTCCTCTCTGGTTTCTCTAAACTAACTCCTTATAATTATACACCCCCATGCCAACAGCAACAGCAGACACTAAGTTTCCACTTTTACAAAATGAGGTCACTGGGCACCATGACATACACCAGTATTCATACACAAGAGGCTGAGGCAGGAGGATCATGAGTTCAAGGCCAGCCTGGGCAATATAATGAGATCCTGTCTCAAAAAAAATTTTTAAAAAAGGGCTGAGCATGTAGCTCAGAGGTAGAACACTCTAGGTTTAATTCCTAATGCCAAATTTAAAAAAAAACAAAAAACAAAAAAAAACTCTACCCATTTAATAGCCTAACTTAAAAAAAATAAATAATAAAAGTTTTTATAGAAAAAACGTTCTATAAAATTCTACCGTAGTCAATATCTGAGTCACAAACGTTATTGTTCTGCTACAAGCACAGAAGTGCACTCTCACTACAGATCATAAATGAAACACCAGTCCAATCTCAACTAAGTATGTACAAAGCAACATTTGGAATCTCTAAAAACGTAGAAATCACAACACAGCCCAACAACTTTTTCACAACAGCATTAAAGAAGTCTTTAAAAGTGGGGGGGGGGATGAACCCAGGGCTTCATGCACCTTATCACTGAGTTACACCCCTAACCCCATAATTCTTTTTATATAAAATAACACTGCAAAAAAAGAAAAAAAGCCTACAATCTAAATACTCTATTTAGAAGTTTTTGTTGTTGGTAGTGATGGTGGTGGTAGTTGTGTTGTTTTGTTTTGTTGCCAGTACTGGGGATTGAACCCAGGGGTGCTCTACCACTGAGCTACATCCCCAGTCCTTTGTACTTTTTATTTTGAGACAGGGTCTTGCTAAGGCTGGTCTTGAACTTCCGATTCTCCTGCCTTAGCCTCCCCAGCTGCTGAGGTTACAAACAAGTACCACTGCACTAGCTATTAAAAGTACTTTTTTTTAAGTCTGTAGGTTAGGGATAATTATCCTCATTTTACAAACAAATGGAGTCTCCAGAAAATACCTAAAGTTTTCATCATTTCTTATTATCATAATAATTAATAAAAGCAGCAACAAAATAATAAGAACTTATTACTAAACCCTTAAAAGATACACCTCATTTAATCCTTACAGACACATTATGAAGCAAATGTTATCACCCCTGTTTTAAAAACGAGTAAACAGGCTCAGAGAGGTCAACTAATTCATACAAGTTGAAAACTGGTAGGTCACAACACTGGGATTTGAACTTATATTTGTTCTACTTTGTACACAGTTCTAAAGCACTTTACTGCCATCCTGTGTTTTCTGACCTATATTCAAGTATTTTCCAATCAATAATTTTGGAACAAATACAAGCTAACATACCTAATTACTACAACCCAAAACCCTTTTAGAATTGACTGCAAAAGCTCTATTCTCTACAAGAGGGAAAAAAAAATAAGTCAATGAGCAACCTGCTTAAGTCTCAGAGCTCAATAGTCAGAAAACTGACTGAAATATTGGCTATTGATATTCTGAATTTAACTCTAAGGAAACTCCTAGCACATACACCAATGACAGGTGAAAATAACAATATTTCAACTAATAGACACATAGGTTAATGGGACTGTGTTAGAAGCAGAGCTACAGCCAGGAGCAGTTTGGGAGGCTGAGGCAGGAGGATGGAAAGTTCAAAGCCAGCCTCATCAAAAAAACGGAGGCCCTAAGCAACTCAGTGACACCCTGTCTCTAAATAAAATATAAAATAGGGCTGGGGAGTGGCTCAGTGGTCAAGTGCCCCCGCCCCAAGTTCAATTCCTGGCACCCCCGCCTTGTTCCCGCCAAAAAAAAGAAGCAGAGCTAGATTTAGTGCATGAGTAGCATCAGGGGGCAAAAGACACAAGAATTGCTAGAGATTGGTCATTGGTTCAACACCATACTTGTGGATCTTTAAGTGCTTTCTCAGATGTTGGTACCTGTGTGGTGTTGAGAAAAGATTAAAAGACCAAGTGGGGCAGATACTTGTGTGCGCACTGGAGAGAGGGAAGTTCAAATTCCCGTGGGCCTTAAAAATCCAGATGAAGTTTAAAATTGACTCCACAGGTGGTAAGGCCCTAATGTCACTTCTTCACTGGGAACCTAGCACAAGACCATTTGTGTGGTTCATATTAGTTTCCAAAGAGACTCTCCCTCGATTTATTAACTCCTCTGCTTCATAAAGATGTAGTTCTTAAAATTTAACGACCTGAACTGGAAACTGAATTATACTATGAATTTCTTAAACATGCTATAATTTACAGCCCAAACAAGGAAAAAAGATTACTGTTCCCATTTTTCAGATAAAGAAAACGAGGCGACAGGAAACACTGTACAACAAAAGACCACAGGTCCAGTAAGCAACAGACCCAGACTCCTCCCGTGACATCAGACTCCAAACCCAAAGCTCCTGCTCTTAGACAACACAGAGGCAGCTGTACAGGTGCAGAAAACTTGGACGACAGGACTAGAGTTTTCCCAGGGCAGCCCCACAAGAGAAGGAAGTGCATCCTCCCTTACAAACCGTTCACTTCCAGCCCATAGCCCCGGACACTGTCACAAGGCTCGCGGCCTGGAAATCACCGGTAGCCCCCAGGTGGTCGCGAGGTTGCCTAGGCCGCCCACGCCCCCGCAGCCCTGCGGGGGACGCCACAGACCCCAGCTCACTACCTGTTGAAACCCTGGAGCGGGACGACCCACACGCTGGGAGCGCTTAGGGTGAGTCCCCAAAGCGGGTATGTGGCCCCTGAAAAGACAGAAGGGTCCCCGGAGGATTTCGGTCGACCCAGGGCCCAGCAGGGTCGAAGGGCAAGAGTTTCTCAGTAACCTCCGCCCCGGGCGGGGGCCGGACCTGCACGTCACGTGAGGAAGAAAATACCGGTAACAAACACAAGAAAAAACAAAGTCGCGTCCCGGGCTGCGAGGGGAAAAGTGGAGTCAACGAGCCCCAGCTTGGAGTGCGAAGGGGTCGAGGGGAAGTGGGGCTTGTCGTTACCGGGACACAGTAGCTCTCCGCTTCCGCCGCCTTCCCGAAGCTCAGGCTCTTCCGCTCGCGCCGTTGGAGCGCGCTCCAGGTCTCAGCGTCGCCCCCGCGCCGCGAGGCCTTCTGGGGGCTGTAGTCCACGCGAGACCTGGCCACGCCCACTTCGTTGGGTCACGTGGGGGGCTGGCAAATCACGGGGGCGGGAGAGTGTTTACGCTCCTGTCCTTAGAAGCCTCCCTAGTTGCCCTCATCTGTAAACGGGCTCACATGTCTGCCCGTCCCAGTCGGTTGTACGTTTTCTCTTACGTTCACAGCCAAGTTTCTTGAAAAAATAATATACACTCGATGTCTCCATTTCCTCCCTGTGCGCACTCCATTCTGCCCTGCAGCTTCCGCCCCCGTAGAAAATGTCTTTGTTGCTGTCAGTCCCTGTTGCCAATTTACCGGAGGTATTTCCAGGCTCATCTTAAATCTTAGTCATTTGACGTTAATGGACGTTATCGCTTATTTTCTGTAATACTGTCCAGATTTGCCTTTTCCTTTCAAGGCATCCTACTCAGTATCTTTCAAGAATTCTTTTCCTAATTCACCTTTTAAATGTTGGTGTTCTCCAGAGCTCTTGATACTGGGGTGAGAGAGGGGAGATTCCAGCCCCTTCTCTCCTGAACTCATTGTACTTCCAACTTCCTAGACGACTCTCCTCGTCCGGGTCTCACAGGCATCTACAAAGTACTTGAAAATTTGGGGCTGGGGATGTAGCTCCATGGTGGAGCACTTGTATATCATGTATGAGGCCCTCGTTTCAAGCCCCAGCACCCCAAAACAAACAAAACTTATAAAGTGAACTACTGCCCCTCTTCCCAGATTCATCTCTCTCTCTTCCTCTTCCACCCATGTACAAATGGTCACCGATTTGAGTAGATTCCCTTGTTCTAGTTCCCTTATTCTCACTGTTGAATCTGTTCCCTCTTCACACAAAATGCCAGTGATTTAATTCCCACCCGCACCATTTCTTAGCTGATTACTTGGTGAACTTCCTTAATGCTCTGGCAACCTCTATAGGGTCCTCCCTACTTCCCTTAAGCCAATTTACGTAAATAGTAAATTTAATCAGGTCACATTTGTGGTAAAATCCTTTAAAGGGCTTCATTCGATTGAGATTGAGAAAAGAAATGAAGGTGAATACCTTGAATGGCTTTTACAAAATATGAATCCCAGACCCACCACTCCCTCTGGTATTGTGGGTGGAAGACTCAGGAAATGAGGATTTACATCAGATCTTATTGAAAGTTGGGTGACGATGGACATTTTTTAAAAGTTTTCCAGGTGATTTAATCATTCAACAAGAATATGTTTTTTAAATATTTTTAGTTGTTGATAGACTTTTTTCTTTAAGGTTTGGCAGTTATTTTTAATCTTTATTTTGTTTATTTATTTTTATGTGGTGCTGAGCATGGAACTCAGGGCCTTACATGTGTGAGGCAAGCGCTCTCCCACTGAACCACAGCCCCAGCCTCTGTTGATAGACTTTTATTTATTTACATGTGGTACTGAGGATCAAACCCAGTACCTCACAAGTTCAAGGTAAATGTGATACCGCTGAGTCACAGCCCCAGCCTCAATAAGAATGTATTTTATTACTTACTATGTACCAGCACTGGTACTGAGAAAATAACATAAGGAATGGTCTCTGCACTTGTGAGTTTACTTTTTTTTTTTTTTTTGCAAGAGAGAGAGATATTAATCAAATGATCTTATACCATGGGGGCAGGGTTGTGGCTCAGTGGTAGAGTGCTTGCCTACCATGTGTGAGGCACTGAGTTGGATCCCCAGCACCACATAAAAATAAATAAACAAAATAAAGGTATTGTGTCCATCTATAACTTTAAAAAAAGGTCCATTAAATGATCGTATACCAAACAACACCAAAAAATACAATTACCAGGTGTAATAAGAATTATGAAGGAAAAGTAATCATTCCCTTTCCCCTTCTGTCTGCCACAAGCCCCAGCCCAGGTTGGGAATTAATATATGTCCCTCATCCTATCAAACAAAGCCTATCAAGAACTTAATCACTGCCCCACCCCACATCCCCCACCCCACATACATGCAGATTTACCAAACTGCGTCTTGTGCAGCTCTTTTAGCTTTACACAGCTGTCCCTCTATTTGGAAAATCCTCCCCCTTCTTCCTTGACTAACTTCTGTCCTGCCCAATTCTCCTTTTTGGGATTCAAGACAAACCCAGCAGAATACCAGCCACATGAGGGGATTTTAAAAGGATTGAACTGAGTTGTGTAATAATTTCCAGGCAAGCAGAAGAGGCCTTTGTGGGGGAACCAGGTACTGCTGAATGTGTGCTGTGTTAGCCAGTTTAGAGAGATCCAGCCTGGGGGTGGGATGGATAGTGTCACACACCTGTAATTCCAGCAACTCAGGAGGCTGAGGTAGGAAGATTCCAGGTTCAAAGCAGTCTCAGCAACTAAGTAAGGCCCTAAGCAACCACGTCTCAAAATAAAAAATAAAAAGGTGTGGAGATGTGGCTCAATCTTCAGTACCAAAAATAAAAAATTTTAAAAAAGGAAAAAGAGAAAAAAATATATATCCAGCTTGAGCCAAAAACCCCACAGATCCTTCAAAACACAGATTAAGTATCACTCCCTCCAGGAAATCTTTGCTTAGCATGCCCCAACCCATGAACTGGTGAGGTCAGTATGCTGACCTTTGATGACCTCACTTCCAGAGTAGACTACTTCAGAGCCAGCTGTGAGATTCAGAAATTTCTCAAGTCAGCTTTTAAACCATTGGTAGCTTGAGAGCAGCTATAATGGTATATCAGCAAATGACATATGGGAGCATTTTGTTTGTGTTTGGAGAGTTGGTTTACCAACTGCCTTTGTCATGACCACACCCCTCTTAGATGCATTCCATTCATCAACTTCATTTAGCAAATATTATTGGCATTTATCATTGTAAATCAGAGACTTAGCAGAGTGCTGAGGGGCTATACAGTACAAACTAACAAATATGGTCCCTGCCATAGTGGAGTTTATAATCTAGCAGAGAAGTCAAAAAATATGAAGTAATAACTCTATACTTTCAATTTGAGCTGGGGTGGGTCTTGGCAATGAATTGTGGTGGACATAGACTGCTACACTACTTAAACAAGGTCATCCAGGAAAGCTTCTCTGAGGAGGTGACCTTTCCACTAAACACTGAAGGATGAAGAAGAGATGGTGAATGGGAAAACCACAAAAAAAAAATGAGTGTTCCAGCCAAAAGAATCATACCAAAAGACCTTGATTTAAACCAATATACTATAAAGAGCTGGTCAGTTTTGGAAAGAGTGTGGGTTACATGGTCTGGATGATTTGAAGAGGTACATAGGGCTAGGTGTACACATCCTTGAGGCCATGATGAGGACCCTAAATTAAATTATAGGCACCAAAGGGGGTTATATAAACAAGGGAGTGATATCATCTGATTCACATTTTAATACAATGTTTGGAGGACCAGAGTAAGTAGGAATGAAACAAAGTTCTGCAGTAGGATGGAGAAAAGTGGGTGGGTCCGGCATATTGAATCAACAGGATTGAATATAGTGGGGGATGGACTGGTGAAAGACTAGGACCCCAAAACAGTAATTGGTTATATCCTTCTCCCTAACTTTAGCCCTTAGAATTGGGCCTGGCACCTAGTAGATATTAAATAGCTGTGTTGAATGATTTTATCCGTTCACTATGCCAATCTCTGTGCCCCATCACTGTCAAATTATATTTAATACAGTACCTCTATCAGCCTACATAGCACTATTGTGCAAATTAGGAAAAAGCACCCCCTCCTTCAGAGGAACATGGCCCATCACCAGAATGCAGACTGATGAGCAGAGTGTGGATCCCACTCCATCCCCCACCTACCCCCCAGCTAGTGTTCTTGCTCAGGGCAGCCTGTGTAACCACATGGGGTGGCCCCAGCTTAATTTAACATCCCTGGGAGATGGTTTCGTGGCATCAAAACCAGTATTCATGTGGAGAATCTGAGTTCCAGGGGAAGGAAGCTACTTGCCTAGGGTCACCAGAGCATCTCTTTTGACTGAAATTCAAACCTTCGGCCCTTTGAATCCCTGCAGGCTCTTTAGTCCTGGAGCCACATTGTCTCTCCCAAATCATTCAGCCCATCAATAAAAAGCTAAATTCAAAATGGTGACTTTGCTTCCTTGAGTTTCTCATCTGTCTCGGTTACTATTGTTAGAGTATTTTACATTTACATAGTATCCAATATGTGCTTGGTGCCTTACAAAATACAATAAGGGAACATGAAACCAAAAGACCTTGATTTAAAAAAAAAAAAAAACAGAATAAGGAATGGCTGGTTTAAAGAGCCCTTAGCTCTTGGATGAAAATGAGCTGTAGTATATTGGTTTAAGGGGACTCTGTAAACAATACCAAAAAAATAAAAAAATAAAATGAGACAAAAACCGCTGATATGCAAACTGCTTTTCTTTTGCTCCCAACCAGAAGGATGGGATATTGAAACATCTGGCTCCAGAAATGGAAGCTACAGGGAGTCAGGGATAGAGGTCAAGGACATAAGGACAAGGAAAAAAACACCCTGAAGGAGGAAAGGTGTTTGTTTGTTTGTTTGTTTGTTTAGCAGTACTGGGATTGAGCTCAGGGATACTCCACCACTGGGCTACATCCCCAGCCCTTTTTATTTTTTATTCTGAGACAGAATCTCACTAAGGTTGCCCAGGCTGGCCTTGAACATTCGATCTTCCTGCTTCAGCCTCCCAAGTAGCTGGGATTACAGACACGTGCCACCCTTCCCAGCTCAGAAGTCCTCTTCCTTTAATCCTCTTCCTTTAACCTTTTTTTAGGACAATAGGAAAGAAGAGCATTTAGCTGGGCGTGGTGGCCTACACCTAAAATCCCAGCAGCTCAGGAGGCTGAGTCAGGAGGATCACAAATTCAAAGCTCGCCTCAGAAACTTAGCAAGGCCCTGTATCAAAAAATAAAAAGGGCTGGAAAGATGTGCCTTAGTG